ACAGCACATATACTAGTACAGACAAATAGGGAACGAATGAAAAAAATTATTTCTATATTCGCTTTGATTGAAGATTGGTTGTTTCGAATTTTTGTTTTATTGCATAATAAAAATTCAATTTAAAAAGGAAAAACGATTTGTCTATTTTTAAATACACACAGATAAATATATGTCCAAGTAAGCGAGCAAACTCTTTACAATTTCAATGGTTTATAGCCGTCACATGTCACATTAAGTTTCGGTCATTCAAATCGGTTGTGTTGATTCCTACTTTTGAGGTTTGCCACATAAAATGCTGTTTAACGATCGCTTTTGATTTTGATGGCACACAACGGGCACATTTTGCATTAAAAGTGCAAAGAATGAACAATTCTCTTGAATAGCAGCAACTCTATTTAAGAGTCTCTCTCTCTCTCACTTAAAAATAGACATCGAACAATTTAATTCTTATATTTTCGTTATTGTTGTTGCTGATCGTTTTTGCATTCTCCTCAAAATAGACGTTAATGGAAACGAGTGCTTTAAAGTTTTTATATAGATTTTTATGTTGAAGTGATAACGTTGAAAAGCGATTGTTGTTTTCCACTTAAATTACTTAATCGACAACGAAGTGGGTACAAATGACATACAAGCAAAAGAAAGAAAGAAAAAAGCAATGGTCCAATCATCGACACGAGCGCATCTAGAAATAAAAAAAAGAGTTCACGTATACCCACCCATTCACTCTATGAGTGATCGCCGTCACATTGAAGTCCATCATATTTTTTTTTCTTTTGTTCCATTCATTGCTGTCAGTTTCTACGACCGGTTTGCAAATTTTGCATCAAATTTAATCGATTAGACACGTTTAATTGATTGAAACGTCTGTCCCGAGTATACATAGAAATATAGATTCTCCGCTATCTACGACATTGCCACAAAGCGCCGTACCATTCATTATTATAACTGTTTGATTTAATGAACACAACAACAACCATTTCGATAATTTTGGTATCGCGCGACCGCGTATACAGTCGGTGTTTTTGCGCGTTTTTTGTCATATTTTTTTATATTATTTACCCGGCGTTTTTCTGCCACTGTGCATGGGGACTCTAATCATTTGCTTTATCGCCGTTTCGTATAATTATTATTATATGGCGTCGTCGTTAATATTTCGGCTTGTTCGTTAGCACACTTCTATCGCAGTTTGTTTTTCTTCTCTCTCTCTCTCGCTCTCTCTCTCTCTCTCTCTCTCTCTCTTTCTCTCTCTCTCTCTCTCTCTATCGAGTTGAATAAGTGCCAGAACAAAAAACCAAAAAAAATGAAATAATCAAAAATTATGTCATATGTTGGTGGTGCATGCACAAGCTTGTCACGGGTTCGGTCAAGCAAGTCGAGGTTATCGCCAATTTTTTCTTTCTGCTGTCTATAAGCAATTCAAATGACCAATTTTATTCTTTTTTAATTTAAGTCTCTCCACCTCTTATCTTTACCCAAATAAAGTGATCAATCCAACAAAAATTTTGTATCGTTTTATTTTGTTTTTTCCTTCTTGGAATTCTCTTTCAGAAAAAGAAAAAATCAAATTCTTCGAATTAGCGATTAAGTATAAATTGTAGTAACTAGCGCCTCATAAATCAAAAAAAGCAGTTCAATCTGAAAAATTCCACACTTGAATGTTGATAAAAAAAAAATCGTGAAAAAGAGTGAGAGAAAGAGGAATTGAGAAAAAGAGTCTAACTCTGAAAGAGAGAATGAGCGAGAAAGTCCAAAATTTCCAATGAATTTTATAGATGTATTCCAAAGATTGGACACTCACATCTGAATTATCGTTCGATTGTCTTCAATTAATGCCTTTGACAATGGGCCGCTGAAAATGTACTTTTATTGTTTATTTTTGAATTAGTATATCGAATGTCCTCTTGAAACCAGTATCATTGAATGCATTGTGCACATTTGTGTTGAATGTCAAATCTAAGACGAATTTCAAGTGTCTAGAATATTCAACTTTAATCATAAAATCCAATTGTCAACTGACCACTTCAATCGAATAACAAGTGCATGTGAGCAATGAGTATATAAGCGAATCGTTGTGCAATGACATTCCAATCGGCGAAATCAATGAAAAAAACAACAGTCGGAAATGAGTCATTGAAAAGTGCACAATAAACTATGAAAATCAATTCAATGCGCAAATTCGTGCTTACATTTGAAAAGAACCAGAAAAAATACGTCACACAATTATTTGCCCTTTTCACGTTCCAAATGAAAACAAGTGTATTTCGGGCATTGAATTCGAGAAAAATAATTTAAAAAAAGCGAGAAAGAGAGAGAGAGAGAGAGACGAATTGAAAAAAGTCATATGATATAATTAACGATCATCAACCATTTGCAATGCATCAATTTAATGTTCGCTTTTTAACACTCATTTATCAAGTGCTTTAATCGAAAGTGTACTTCTATGATCACACCACCAACTCAATCAAATGCTTAGTTTTGTGTTTGTTGCTTTGAAAATAGGAGAGTGTGTGCGATGTCATTTAAAATTTGCCTGTTGATTTGATATGCATCACACCGTGTACAAATGATGTGGACGTCAAATATGCCCCTCCCCCCATTCGTATAATTGTACTTTTAATTTGATGTTGTGAAAATAAATCGATTTCAAAGCGCACCAGACAAATGATGAATACATGATTGATGCAACGTTGTCACATTTGCTGCAAACTGATTTAACTAATGGCGTTAGCCTTCAAATTGGCACGCAACGCTTGACTTATCTTCTTCTTTTTTTCCGGTCAATTTGGCGAAAGGAATTATATGCTTTGATATGATAGATGAATAATTTGAATCAATTTTGTGAAATTTATTTCGCTTCAATTTGATCTTGACTCACATAAAATTGGTCGAATGGACAGTGAGCTATGGAAATTGAATGTGTACCATTGATCATTGAACCATTTATCACATAACGTTTTTTTTTTGCCGTTGTTATTGTCGTCAACCGAACTGAACATGTCTCAAACTACAGAATTTTTGTCAATTATTCATTTTGGCATGCATGATTCGAATTTGCGGTTTATGTCTTTTTGTTTCTAATTTTGGACTTGAAACCATTAACGGTGAATGTTCACAATCTATGTACCGAACTTACCGCGTCGTACTTTGTTACGAATGTGTATTTTTGTTATACGCGCCAAATATGAATCATCCATGAACATTTGCGACGTAAAATTTCAAATTTCATTTTTTGTGTGTCTACCTTTCGACGAATATAAAACCAGCTGATTGCTGTCAGACCAAGGAATGAAATGGAAAAAAATAGCGACGGCAAAAATTAGATTCGTTTCGCTCATTCATGTTACAGACGCTTTTTTTCTCTTTTTACTTCGCTTTGCATCTGAAATGAACTGCAAGTTTTCGGAAAGTCATTGCGCCAAACAATTACACGAGCCATGCCAAATGAAGATACAATGTTTCAATTTTTTTTTCTCGCTCATTACGTTTCGCGCAGACATCCATCCGTTTGACTCGTGAGCAGAGACCAGAGATATAGAGTAAGAGTGTGAATAATAGAGACGCAAAGAGCGCCAAAAAAAAAACAATCGACGGTACAATCGAAATAGATTATTAACATCAACAACAAAAACAGCGACATAGTGATGTACAAAGACATGATAAAAAAGAGAACACCGGCACCCCAAAAATAAATTACATTTTTCAGCCGTGTGCATGTGTGTCGAGTATGAGAGTGACACGATGCCCAGACGTTGTGAACGTCCGAATAATAACCCCAATGACATACAGAAAAATAACAATTTTTTTGCATTCGTTCGTAATTTTCCATTGTCATTCTTGTCAATCCGTGTGAAAATGTATGTTTGCCAACAGTAACACAAAAATTGTTGCCTCAGACTTGGTCGCGCACTATCTAAATGAATCTCAAGGTGTATAATTGAATTTATGAGCTTATCATGTTCAAACAAACTGTCAAAACTCTTTTTATTACCTACATTTGTTCTTTTTTGGAGGAAAAACGTGAGATAGATCCATTCACGCACCCATCATGATAATTATCATCCAAGTCTATTTTTTCTCATGTGAAAATCAAATGTGACGGTTCGAAAGAAAAACAAGAACATTTCGAAACCGTGCATAGAGTACCATTTATTCTCCTTCTTTTTATCTCTATTCACCCGTAATCGGCGTCTAACATCAAACTATTTTTTTAGTGAGCTACTAATTAATGAAGAGCTCTTGACTCTCTCTCTATTACACTGTCATTTCTTTAATGGGTTTGTCCGTTGTCAACGCGCCGCTGCCATTGAGATGGAGCCCCATTAAAATGATAAAACCAGAGCAACGGTTGAACAACCGCTTATTTATCAATATTTAATTGTTTACCGAATATACTATACACACACCCCAAACACTGTGTACAGTATCCATTTTTGATGTTCCTCTTTTGTGCGGTCGAGATTTATTCTTGTTTCTTGTTCTCTTTCTTTCTTTACATTATTTTTTGTCTCTGCTCTCAACTAAATTGCGCTGTTGCTGGTGTATCAACCATTGTTTGTATTTATCTTCTCAGGTACTTATCAAAATAAAACACAGAACCGCATTTGTTTGTTCAAATGTCGACGAGCGAGATTCCACTTCAATATATTCAATTAATGTATACAATATCGAAAGATATGAAAGACAATGAAGAAATGCCACAAACAAAACGTATCGATTGCAACAGTTTTTTTTTCTTTTACGGTTTTGTTCTCGATTACGACGACGGCGACGACTGTAATAATATTAATAAATTTATTTTTTTAGCCACACATTAAGCGAATGAGCCACCAGACAATCAAAACATTGACACTCACCAGGGCTCATCACATTCATTGGCTGCAAAATAAGAAACAAAAAAAAAAAACGAAAACAAAACAAATAGCATGAGTGCGTGTGCGTGCCGCTGCCGTTATTTGTATTCATGGTATGTTATGGAGACAAAATGAAAACAATTCTAACGATTTGTTTGAGATAAGAAAGAAGAGCATATATTTAATTGTGATTATTCAAAATGCCATAGTTCACAGTTTATAACAAAGCACACATACACAAAAAATTTGGATTCAGGATACACATTGGCTGGTTGTGTTGAGGATAAATTTCATTATACAGCTCAAAAACTGTTTTCTCTTTTATTTCTATTCTAATGCATAAAAATTTATCCGAACATGTGATTAAAAACCTCGTCAATTGTTCGAAATCAGCGATCACTTTCAGTGGAATTTCAGTGTTTTGTCGACACAATATTTCGATGTGGTAAATTAATTATGCGATCGTTTCCTGTATCGTTTCCCAAATCAAATGAATGTGTAGAAAATTGTCCGGGTAGCTTAGATGTTCGCTTAGCCATTGCAGCGGGGTTTCTTTTTCAACTTCGATGCCATGTGTTAAGCACGTTACTGAAATTAAAGAAAGAAAAGAGAAAAAAGAAGAAATAAAATGTAGAAAAAATCAAGTGGTTGAACATATATTTTAATTAATTCATTAGATCAGATAAGTAGAGCAGCTGAACTATGGACACAAGATGAAATGAATATAATAAGCCACCTATTATTGTAATAAATTAAACCTTACGTTTTTAAAAGAAAAAGCTAGCAATTCAGTACACACACAAAAAATTGCTTTTTATCGCTTCTGACCCAAGCAGTGAAACAAATGGCCAACACAAATCGATTCCGTCTCGCTTTTTCATTCGAACTTTCGAAACGAAAATATACAACTACAGCCCAACGAAAACTGTTTTGTCTCCTTCATGCAATATCGCTTCTATTTTCATTTGGTTCTGTCCATTTGAAGAATATATAATAATCCACGGTCGGTGGTCTCATTTTATTATCAATCAAACATCCGTCAAATACGATTATCTTCATTAATCGCTTATTGTTTCTTCATGGAGCGGTAAATGTCGGCGTTGCAGAATGGAACAAAAAAACAACCATAGAAAGAAACGCAACAACACCATCATTAAACCGAATTACATTAATTTAGTAATGGTCAAAATCAAGTTTTTCTAATGATTAAGTAGAAGAAAGGGTACTAACTAACGAACGGAACTCAAGCAGCCGAATAACAACAACAATAATGGAAAGAAGAAGAAGAAGAAAATACACCCAAAACGGAGCTGCGTTCAAGTGAACGGCTTGGCAATTCTCTCACGGTGTGACGTAATCTGAGATATATATAGTTCGGTTGTGCACATGATGATGAGTTATCATTTCTACGGCTTTTTTCCATGTTCATGCGTTTTCGAGTGTGTTCATCGTTCCATAATCAACTTACTAGACATAGTGGTGTAATTTTTCGACCAAAAAGAGAAAAAGTAAGAGAAAAAAAAATGTATGAATAGAAAACAATGTTCTAGCCGTCGGTTAAATTCAAATGGGTAATCGGAGAACGGAAGAAAATATATCGCAACATGAATGATGATATTTTCGAATTTTATTTTTCACTGAATTCAGTTTTTTTTTCTCTTTTTTTTTCAATTTGCGTCAAAGCACCTCTTGTGTCATTCAGAACAGAGCGTAGCGGACACACAAATCAGCGGTCATTTTGACAGACGGCTGTACAAGCTAAGCCAAGCTATGGCACGCTCAACATTAAAATGCCACAAACGAGATCGAATGGATTTTATATGTCATTGATTACCATCTTTACGAGAGTCCATTTCTTTTTTTTCCCTCTCTAACAGTTCAGGTGATAATATGGTATCAATTAAAAAAGAGTTTTAGAAGAAAATAAATGGAAATACGATTCGAGATGGAGATAAGACCAAATGCACATTAAATGGTGCGTTTCACGGGTTTTCACTGTAGAAACACTGTAGAACAGCACAAAACATGATGGAAAACATTTGTATATACGAGGCCAGTTAGTATGAAATTAGTTTAAGAGAAAAGTGTCGACAAAATCTCTCAAACGAAAATGTGAATCGCTGAATCGTTGGGCCAAATGCCAAAACAACAACAACATAAAACGCCTGTTTGTCTCGCATTCACAAAACTGAACTCAAAGGTACCGACCGACCATAAAACTGTTGCCGATCTTATTTTATATATTATACTCAAAATATATATATAAAAAAAAGGTTCTTTTCACATATTCGCAGCAAAGACTATTTTAAGGAGGCAGTCACGATTTGTGTGAAATGTGCAACACTCTGTGACAAAGCGCACACGTTTTTTTTTCTTCTGTATTGTGAAGTTTGCAATGATTATGTTTCGGTGCCAAAATGCTGTTCCAATGTCTGAAATACATTTTGTTTTGATGTTGAAATATTAATCGATGCGGTGAAGAAAAAAGGGAGAAATGAAACGTTAATTAATTTCCTCCTTTTCAACAGAATTAATTAATGATTTTGAGCGCAAAAAAAAAGTACAGCGTATATTGTGCGCATAGTGCAGAAAATGATGTATCATCGAATGAGAGATGAATGACTATCAAAAATGTGAAGAAAAAACTTGTCCTTTAAATTCAATTTAATCACCTTTTTTTTTCATTCGGACAAGGCGCACGTCGTTGTCAAAGCGAAACGTTTTTTTTTGTTTAAATTAACGGACGAAACAAGCCCAACAACACCTTTTGCCGTTTACGAGCGCAAATTTTTGGCACGGCAAATGGTGACTCATAAAGGCACACATATTAAAAGTGTTGCACGTGGCTGTGCAAATTTTATAGTTTAAGCCAACTGAAAAAAAAAAAGAAATTTAATTTTGTGCAGACATTTTACAACATTTTTACAAATGAGTAAATTACAATTTGTTCGCTTTTTAAAACGAAAACCGCTTTTATTCGTCGCGAGAAGAGTGCAACGAGAAAAAAAAAACAATAGTGATTTCGACCCAAAGATAATCAAGTCGACAACAAAACGAAGGATAGAATTAACTTTTTTTTTCGCTCTGCGCTAACATCTTTTATGAGTTTCGTTAAACGTATTCTGTTTATTGGTTACGTGAATTCGTTTAGTTGCTATTCGTTATTCATCCTGAAAACCCTTAGCAAAGTGTTTTGTAATCTATGGTTTGTTATCGTTTTTTTTTTTAATTTCAACGCCGTTTCTTTTGCGTTCTATTTTGCAGCACGGCATTTTGATCCAAAACCGCATATGTGTGTATGGCAGTAACATGACAGAAGTTTATGGCTAAACGCTGTTCAATGATAAATCACTTTTTTATGGTGTTTTAAAGAATTTTCAACTTGTTGATGGCATTTGATTCTCTTTTTTTTCACCTTCATCTTTTGTCCGTTTTACCACTTTGCTCTAGGTCTTCTCTCGTTTGTTCTTCACAGAACACAACTCAAAATAATCTTCGATTGGAATTTAGATAAAATTCTTTTCTGTGATTTCTGTATAAAAATTCCATTTCATTTTCGGATTATGATCGTTTGTCTCTCTTTTCCATTTCGTTCTTTGTCTTCGAATAATCGATTTTGGTGTATTCATTGGGCCGAATGAATGCGCATCGAATGTGGCGGGCGGGGTGTGATCATGCAATTAAGATGAATTGAGATAAATTAATTAATTAATTTTTGGATTGCATTTCATCTCATCAGGCCACAGCAGCAGCAGCGAAGGCGGTGGTAGTAACACAGCAGTGATTATTCCGCTGAATTTTATATTTGAATACATTCATCATTCAACCTCTAAATATTGTTGGCTACATTTTTTTTCCAGATGAATCTATTGCTCTAGACAGGGCGTTGTTTTCGTCGAATTGAGATTTACTAAAGCACGACAACACAACAATTTAATGTATCGACTGTATAGTCAGAAATATTGCGATGTTATCAAATCTAACAAGATGCATTGAATTCCATTGTGCGTCGTTCAACCGAAAACTTTTTGGCCTGGCCAGACAGTGTGACTACACTTCGCTTTGTCATTCCTCTTAAAATGGTCGGTGCAATGAGTCGATTTGAGAGAAGCAAAAAAAGAACACCAAAGAGAAAAGATGGTGAGTACGCAATCCATTGACAGCTTACCGAAGCAAATAATCTGAGTCGTTGTTAAAACAAAACTCAAAAAAAGCAATAACAACAACAACAAAGCTCATCGTAAACGAAGGAGAAATAGTGAAAAAACGATGAACATCCAAAGAAAAATCAGAAAATAACAAAATTTACGGCGGACATTGGGTGAGTATTGTTCACATGCTTCTAGTATTACGCGTAGTATGAGTACGGAATTGCATGTTTGCCGCAACCAGTCGGCAAAGGTAAAGATACAAGAGCCTTACCGGTCGGTAAGATTGTTTGAACATTCGTTTTGGGGCGAGAGCATACGGATTGTGATTTTCGGAGTTGGAAAGAGATGCAAACGAAAAGGAAGAAAAAAAGAAGAAGTCGACGACGACGACGATGATGATGAAGAATAAGTTTGTTGCTATTCTTTTGAACACGTAACTACATTCGCAAAGAAGATTGATTTGATGTAAATGTCAGAGTGAGCGAGTATAGTGCATTCATTACTCAAATCCAGTAGCTATTAACTCGAATCGCTTATTTCTTTCTATTCATATGAGCCGGCAGGTAGTAGTTCCGAAACTCACACCGATTTTCAACTGAATTGTCCTTCTCGGTGTGTTTCTATTTTTCGGTTGTTTTTTTTTTCTCCATTCGATTGAAAGTGCCGACATATTTTGAACCACCTTGGGCAGCCACCAGCCACGACGACAACGACTGGCAACAATTCATCTTTTTGTTCATTTGTTTTTTTTTTTACTTTCGCTTTAATTATTATCAAATGAATTTCAATTTTCCAGCAGTGTATCACGTAAATTGGTGTTTGATTCGATGAAATTTTCTCTATCCGGTTTTCAAAAGCAGACGTCCTTTTGCTGACGTGAAACGAAAGAGAGAGAGAGAAAAAAATCTGTTGTCCAGTCTTTGTTGGTATAATAAAACGAAAAAAAAATAAAGATTAACGTTTTGTCTTCGTTCGTCTTTTAAAATTGGTTTTTATCGCGTTGCCATTTCAAATTATTATCCGACAAAGCGAAATGTGTGCATTTTTTTCGCTTTTCATATACACACCAAACCACATACTATATTTTTTCGATTTGCTTTGACATTTACGATAAATTTATCTATATATCCCCAAGAGAGCAACAGAAAATCGACCAGCAACTTCAGCAAATATATTGCATTTGTTTTTTCTTTCTTTCGGTCGTTGGACGGTTTTTGTTGCTGGAAGCGTTTGGTATGCGTTTGCGGTTTATCGGAAGCCTATGTTTTTATTTTTATTTTTTCAAAATATGTATTTGTATATTTAAACGAAAAGGCGAAAAAGAAAGGAAAAACAAATCTCAATATTCAATAAATAAATAAATTAGTCATAAATAAATCAGAATCGATCGTCGTTCCGCCATCACAATTTGCGTTGCTATATTGGACCATTTTCTAT